TTCGACACAAAACACGCCTAAACTTACCATCATCCCGATTACAAATACACTCATCAAGCCCACTAGTCATGTCTATAAAAATTTACAATAAACTACCCGAAACACTGAGAAACGAAAAAAAGACACATTTATTTGCCAATAAACTCAAAAAGCTCCTTCTAAGCAAATGCTACTATAGCGTCAAAGAATATCTGGACGATAAAAAGATAGTCTAATTATTAATTAATATATAAATAATTTGATATAAATACCTATTATTGTACCTAATTATATGTAATGTTATCAAACTTATGTATACCTTCTTTTGCTATGCCCTATCAGGGTCCATAATATGTACCTAGATTTAAGCTCTTAACATCTTTGTAACATTATGGTATGCAAATAAATAAATATGAAATATGAAATATGAAACTAAGTATGTATATTTCGTTCCAATTTTGACCCAAAACCAGTGGCGTAGCTATCATAGGGCCAGGTGGTGCCATGCACCAGGGCCCTCGAGCTGAGGGGGCCCTCTAGCCTCAGCTTTGAAAAAAATGAAAAATTAAAAGAAATAAAAAAAACATTTTTTTTTTATTTAAATCAACACCACCAATGATTAAACTCCTTGTTTAACATTTTCAACACATGCGCCAAGCGTCCTCGATAAGCATGTGCTGTTTGTTTGTTGTCGTTATTTCAGTTATATGGTAGTTTGGATGAGTCTGCCCGTAGCACATTGGATCATCTCACGTGCTTGACGGTCGTGAGGTCAATTCACAAATTCCGCCCATCGGTTTTTTAATGAAGTTTTCATTCGCTCTTGCCTTGCATCAGTACTTATTTATGATATTTCGGGCGATTTTTTCAAATTTCTGGGGTCTGTGACGTACTACACTAGTTGAAGCTAGGTGTGTCGCTGACTGTTACTGTTGTACTTCGTAATTCCCTACCACAAGCCTTATTTCATTAAGTATCACCACTAATGTTATGATTTCTATTCCGTACATCCATCCATCCATCCGGCACCAAATTCTAGTAAAATTCATTTTCGCAAAAAAAAAAAAATCCGATGGCAAGATATGTACGATACAGATTGCAGCACAACGCTAACCGTATAATGTATGATAACTCTCAACCTGATCGGCAATAAACGTTTACCTAAACTCAAGTCCAAATTGACAAACGAGCTACTATAGAAACGATAATATCTTCTTATGAATTAACATTGATTTTACCACATTATTACCAAACAAGCTGTTTTATGGTTCTTTTCTGTTGAGCTTGCTGTAATCTACACTAAACATTAACAAGCAATATAGGAAAATCTCAGTGAGTACTCCGGATTTCTAAAATAACGATAGTTACCAATTAAAAATTATGGAACGAAAAAAGGAACGTAGCGGTGCCGCAAAGCGGAAACAACGACAAGAAAGAGAAGAAAGTAAAAAAAAATTGCCTAAGCTAGATAGCTTTTTTACGAAACCGCTTTCTGCTACAGTTCCTTCAACAGCCGAAACATCGATCAAAAGTGCCGAAGTCATCGTTCAAAAAACTACCATCAATGCCCCTGCTGAAAATGACTACCTCGACGCTTCCGTGCAACCTACGGTAGAGGAATCATCAATTTCTACATCTTCAAAGGTTCTCGAAATTTCAAATGACTTGGGAAATTACATCAACAAGAAACTGAGTGATACCGAAAAACGTCTGATTCTTGACAAGGGACCTTTGAAACCTCCGGGACCTTTTCCGAAGGACCCCCACCAAGACAACAGGAGCTTTTCAGAAACGTATTACGTTTCTACGTCACAATACGGTCCAGTTGATCGTTTTTGGATATGTTACTCCAAAATGCTGGATGCTGCCTACTGCCAACCGTGTTGGTTGTTCGCTTCGCAAATAAATGCATGGTGCACTGGATTTCGGGACTGGAGGCATTTATCAGAGAGAATCAAGCAACATGGTTCCTCGAAAGCACACACGGAGGCGTGCGCTGTATATGAAGCGTGGCAAAAAAGTTCCACCATCGACAGAGAACTTGAAGATGAAATTCGCAAAGAAGCATCATTTTGGAGACAAGTTCTTCGCAGATTATTTGATATTATAATTACTCTTGCGAAGAGTTCTTTGGCTTTGAGAGGACATCGAGAGGATCTGAGTGAGGGAGGAAACCACGGAAATTTTCTCTCAATTGTCCAACTCGTCGCTAGATACGACCACATCATGCGTCAAGTTTTGGATATGCCCAAAGGTAAGAAATTATCTCGTTTTTTTTTTTATGTAATGAGTCGGCAAACGAGCGTACGGATTACCTGATGGTAAGCAATCAGCGCCGCCCATGGATACCCGCAACGGAGGAGTTACGAGTGCGTTGCCGACCTTTTAGGGATTAGGGATTGGGGAAGGGTCCGGGAAGGGGAAGGATTGGGCCTCCGGTAACCTCTCACACGGCGAAACACAACGGTTTACTGTGTTTATAATTTATGTTATCATAATCCGATGTTTTCTAATATCCCCATGTTTTTAGGATCAACAAGATACCTGAGTGCAACGATTCAAAATGAAATGATCGAGTGTTTGGGCACAAAACTCGAGAATCATTTGTTGGATCGAATTAGGGCGTCACCGTTTTTTGCCATCATCATGGATACCACGCAGGACATATCAAAAGTGGATCAACTGAGCATTGTCGTAAGATATGCAGTGATATCAAGATCGGAAAATGGACAACCAATCGACATTGAAGTAAGAGAGGTATTTCTAGGTTTCCACGCAGTCACTAAACACAGCGCCGCGGATTTGGTAAATCAAGTTACTATGTTGTTCTCCGAAAAGGGTCTTGATTTTAAAAAGTGTGTTGGGCAAGGTTACGATGGGGCCAGTGTAATGAGTGGTGCGTATAATGGTGTGCAAAAACAAATTAAAGATATTCAGCCAAACGCAGAGTACGTACATTGCGCCAGTCATAATTTGAATTTGATCATAAATGATGCCGTTCGAGGTTCCGCCGAAATTCAGAAGTTTTTTGCAACAATTCAAGACTTATTTAACTTCTTTGGAAACAGCATTAAGCGCTGGGACCTTTTATCGAAATTCACCGGTGAATCAGAAATTACTTTGAAAAAATTGAATCCAACAAGATGGTCCAGCAGGGTTAATTCAATAACTGCAGTCAAACTTCGTTTTTTCGATATCATCAAAGCATTGTCCGAAATAACGCTGAAGAGTTCCAGTAAAGACGAACGCAGTGAAGCAGAGATTATAAAATCAAAAATGCTGAATTTCGAGTTTGTATTTCTTTGTGAATTCATGCACAGCGTATTGAACAATATCAATTATGTTTCCAAAGTTTTGCAAAAACGTGATATCGTTTTGGACGAAGCGAGTAAGGCTTTGGACGAAACAACGGATAAATTGAAAAAGTATAGAAATGACTTCGAGTCCTTCAAGTCCAAGGCCACTGAAACCGCAAGAAAATACGACATCGATCCTACCTTCCCAGAAAAGCGACGAAGAAAAACTAAAAAGCATTTCGATGAATTGGCTTCTGATCACCGATTCGAAAACCAGGAAGAAGTCTTTAGAGTAACTATTTTCAACAGTGTACTCGACATAATAATCAATCAGTTAGATGCGCGTTTTATAGGTATGAGTGCAATTTGTAAATCGTTCGACTTCATGATTCCAAAAAATCTGCTCAGCTGGAATGAAACGATTTTACTCAAAAAATGTGATCAGTTTCAGAAGAAATATTGTGATATAATTGGACCCACTTTTTCGCTCCAATTTCTTAATGTATATCATCTGATCCTCCCTCAATTGATGGAGACGTGGTCTATTCACCAGCTATGCAAAGAAATTATAACGAAATTTGGCGTGCTCGAATGTGACCTTACGGAAGTGTATACAGCGATGCTACTGTTTCACACAATTCCTGTTACTTCCGCGTCAGCAGAAAGATCTTTCAGTAAACTGAAGATTATAAAAAATTATTTAAGAAACAGCATTGGCCAAGATCGCCTTCGACATTTATCGTTGATTGCAATAGAAAATGAGGCGGCATCAAACTTGGAATTGAGTGAAATTATAGACGAATTCGCAAACATTAAAGCGCGCAAGAGATTGTAAATCGGGCGGGGAATTCTCTTAAAAAACTTTTTTTCTTTTAATTAATAAATATTCTATATTGTTATGTGCGTCGTTGTTTATTTACCCCCTTTTTCTTCCATATAACACATGAAGATTTTAATAGAGACGACGTATGGATTTAGCCTACTAGGGATGATTCAACCCACTGTTTCCTATTCTTATTCCCTATTTTCATATCAATAAGTCCAAACTGCGCGGAAAGAGGGGAGGAGAGCCCGATTCTCTCCCTGTGCACCAGGGCCCTTGCCCCCCTAGCTACGCCACTGCCCAAAACACTGAACTTCAGCACAGTTTGCTTTTTGTCAGCTTTTATTAGACACGGATTGGTAAAATTCGTAAATAATATATAATTCATATAACGTTTAAATATAGCATGGTTACTACTACTCTTCTACCACTAATGTAGTGCTAAAAACATTTCCGATGAAAAATTGGTAGCAGCGCCATCTATTGGGATGTATGTGAAGTATGTAGCTAGATAGTAAAAACCCATCTAAGAGTTTCTTGTTACAAATTAAAGATGTCTCTCAAAATACAAACTACGCAAAAAGTTTAATAAAAATATATTTTCTTATTATTTTATTTTTTACCTCAAAAATAAATTGACAGCAATAATAAACTATTTGCTTAAAAATAAGTAAACGTCTTACAAATCCGAGTTTCTTAACAAAATCATAGATGGCGCTGTCAATGACATGAATATTTACTTGAAATGATTTATAATTTGTAATATTTTTGTAATATTTTTGTTTAATTTATAAATAAAATGGTTTTATTGCAATCTTTACATAATCTCCGCAATTTTTAATACAACATTTTTAATTCACTGCACTGCAATTCCATTCCGTATATTGTCTGTGGCTGTCAGAAAAAAAGTAAAAGTGTCACTATGGATTTATATTTGTGTCGGATGGAAATACTACGTCGAGAGCTACGCCGGTGGACAATTTATTTCAATTATCATGAATAAGCGCAGTCGAGACGCTGTGTGTTATCGTTTGCTCTAGACAAATATATCAACTATATTATTCGTCAAGCAAAAGGTTAATAGCTCGTGCCGTGTAACGAATAATGGTTTGGGAAGAAACTATAGTGACGTCTCGCGATTCAGCCTTGGATATTATGGTTACGAGAAAAAGTGTATTTTGAAAATATACCAAGTGTTTTCTTGTAAAAAACGTCTGTAAGATATTCATCGACTGTGTGGTGGTTCCGTTCGACGTTTTTGGTGTTGCATATCGGTGTTATGTCGGGTGGCAGGAGTATCGACAAGGAGCGAAAGTCTCCTCGGGAAAGCGGGGAGGATTCGGAGGATGAGAGCGAGATTCTCGAGGAGAGCCCCTGCGGCCGGTGGTTGAAGCGGCGAGAGGAGGTAAGCGCCACTGTCGTTATCACTAATTAGAGGGTTTACGTGAATATATTTAGGCCATTCGACGAGACAAAGACCGTCGTCAGCTGATTCACAAGGTTAGCTCATGTTATACTGTTAAGACGTAGTTTAATATATTTTTATACGAGACTACAAGGTTTGTTTTGGTGTAGCAATATTGAGCAATCCAATGACATTTGCTGGATGACAAATGATTACAACTGCTGGCACAAAAAACTTTCTACAGTCATGCTTATCAGTGAATCAGATATTTATGAGATTTTTAGGTCTATTAAATAAATTAATTTTAGTTCCAAAGGTTAATAGCATATCTTTAGTAGAGCAGAGATTTATTGTGATCAAACAATCTCACTAATACTCACATTGTTATCTAGATAGATTAAAAGATATTGTTATTAGCATAGTAAACATGCATGTTGTATTGTAGTTGGATGACTCACTAACATCAATAACAATATTACAATTGGATTTATTCATCTTTCTAAGTAATAAATCCTATAAGAAAATCAATTTTGTAAAACCCCGTTGAATCAAACAAGTTCTGACATGAAGTAGATACATGACATGTATCACAAGTGGTGGTTGTCAACATGTTGGATCTTCATCAAGCGACTAATTATAAAGAAATGCACATATGTTGGAACACTGGTGAAAGAGTTTATTAATTGCCTGCATATGTGCAACTGTCCTTATAAGGTTTGGCAGAGAGTAATGTGCAATGCTATCATGATAAATAAAATTAATGTTTATATCTTTTTCTCACTGGTGGTCGGTTTGAGTATGGAATATATGTATTTTTAAAATAATTTATTATATTTTTTTTTTCATGGACTATGTTGATTATGCACTATCAATGTTGTTTTCTATACTAACTACCTTACAATATTTCTCAAAATATTCTTAGTAGATAATTATTAGATTATAATAAGTTATTAATGTTTCTGAATGAAAGTTACAATTCCTTGTTGTTGCCATGGTAATCTTTTCAGTGCATTCTTTATATTGTAGTAGATAAAAGATTATAATAGTAAACTTTATCATATAATTACACGCAAGTATTGCCTCTCACTAGTGCTAAGAATCTGCCAGTGAAAGTTAATGCCTTGAAATGTGACGGTGTTAAATGTTAACTTGTATTGTAGTAAAGGGGTAAGCAGACATTAAAAAAAAACCTATAATTTTATTTTTCGGAAATTAAATAGTCACTTATAGGTACCTTATTTACCTACATTGGGCAGTTTACTGAGATATCTTAAAACTGATCTAGTCTTCAAACACTTACAATGAAATTGAAATTATTGAAGATATTCTAGAAAATAACATCAAGACAGACTTGCATAACTTAATGATGCTTATGAAAAGTTATATTAATAATATTCTAAGGATGACAATAGCCTCTAATTCGTGCCTTTCAAATATTATCAGTTGCTATTAAGTGTATAAATAAAGCAATTTTATTATTTTTGTATTCAGTTGACCTTTTCCTCAATGCAAGTTCTTATCTTATATTACTCAAATAAACAATTGACTTACCTAAAACCTACTATATGGGCATTTCTCTGTAAACTCGTATTTGGCTGTCCCGACCGACTCTTTCAATAAGTACTTTAATTATTTACTAATAAATCATTCCTAAAGAAACTCTAATCCCGAAACTTTAAGGGCTGATTGTTTTAAGCACCATAACTATTTTAATTTTTTTTCTACACATGTTAGAAGCTCTAAAAACACAGTCCCCTGGCTGTCCCCACCATTGATTTGTTGACTAGATATGGGATTTACGAGAAAGGTATTATAGCTACATACATTTGTCAGTAATTATCATAAAGCAAACATATTAAAATATATTATTTTCATAAAACTAGATCTCATTACGCATTTTATTATTTAGTAAACACCTGCAAACTTTGTCCCCAAAATTTTTATACAGTCCCCTGCCAAAGATTTAAATCCATAGAAAAAAAAACTGTAAGATTAAATAACATTGTTCTAAGTGAAACTAAACGCAATTGATGTGAAGTTAGCTACGATGCCGAAAGCGGTGACGAGACGCCATCTTGTTTAGTTTCAGAGTGACATTTGTGTGGTGAACACGTGTTTGTTCCGGTACCCCGCACAGTCCTCCGGTAAGTGATAATATCATGTTAATTACTTTAATTATTTAAATCATATAGTTTATTTTTTTATATTTATGTCTAAATTGATCGGTAGGTTCTTAAACAAACTAATCTGCATCAGTTTTTAAGATATTGTGATATTTATTCGAAATACACAGTCCCCTGGCAACAGTCCTCTGTCAGAAAATGTGGCAGGGGACTGTTTTGTATAACAGGGGACTGTGTTTTTGACGTATTGGTATTGTGTTTATGTATTGTTTGTGTAAATTTATACGATAATCTGGTTTATCAATAGGTATCATCAATGTATCATTATATTTCTTTATAAAGTTGTATTATTTTACACAGGCCGAGCGAAAACACAATAATATGGCTCCGAGAAAGAAAAAGTTATCCCGAGAGGAATTACTACAGAAGAAGAGAGAAGCAGAACGACTACGTTATGAAAAAAGAAAAAATGACCCACAAAAGAGAGAAGAAATGAGAGAAAAGGAAAAATTAAAGTACCAAAAGAAGAAAGAAAAAGGTTCACGAAAGTTGGTAAAGGATATGACACCTCGTGAGCACAGAGCTGCCCTAAAGAAGTGGAAAGAACATTGTACCGTGTACCGAACCAAAAGATTAAGACTGAAAAGTGTCACTAATACTTTTATACGAGACAATACGCCAATATCAGATCTAGAAGCATCTCCTCCGCCTACAAGACCCACCACTCCAATTCCAGAGCAGTTTTCTTCAGCTCCAAGCCCAGCAGCTTCCAGTGCTAGTCAACAACAAAGAAAGAAAGAAGCCACGACTCGACGAAAGAAGTTTAACAGGAAAAGAAATGAAAAAATTGCACGTTTAGAGAAAAAGCTTGAGAAGTACAAGAAAAGGTTAGCTAGATTTAAAAGTAAAATGCAGAAGAACGTTGAAGATACACCTAAAACAAAGATATTAAAAATGTTAGAAGAGCCTGATCAAAGAAAAGAAGTAGTAAAGAAAGCGTTGTTTGGCGACGTCATTAGTAATCAGTTGAAAGAAAATTATTCTACATTGAAACATACGAAGGAGAGACAAATTTTCAAAAAAGTTGTTACTGGTAGTCTTGTTCGAAAGTATAGGCAATGGATACCTAAAGAAATTAAATCGTTGTCTAGACCCGGAAAAAAATCCAACCTCAATGGCTTAGATGTACCTGTATTGAAACGATGTAAAATACCTGAAAGTTATAAAAGAGCTGTTCACAATTTCTTTGAAGATGATAGTAATAGCCGTATGGGAGCCGGTAAAAAAGAATTTATTACTAGGAAGACTGTAAAGAAACAGAAGAGGTATCTTCTTGACACAGTTATGAATCTTTACAAAAAGTTTATTACAGGCAACTTTAAAATTAGTTACCAAACTTTTTGTCGACTCCGTCCATTTTGGGTTGTTAAACCAAATGCTCAAAACCGCGATACATGTCTTTGCATAGTTCACAGCAACATAGACATGAAGCTCAGCACACTTCATACTGCAAATATATTGGGTTACAACAACCACCAGAAGTTACTGGAAGAGCTATGTTGCGATCGGTATAATGTGAATTGTTTGGCGAGATCCTGTCATACTTGCCTTAATAAGAACCCGAAATATAAAGAATTTGATAACAGAAATGTCATAAAATATAAAATGTGGATTTCGGAAAGGCAACAAATACAAGATTTTAAGACTAAAAAGCCCCGACTCGTGACTAAATGTTTGAAAAAAACATTTGAAGTACATCCAAGACAGCTCATAACGCAATTACAGAAAGATTTAGACAAGTTTTTTGAACACCAGCGAAATATTGTTCACCAATATAAAGCCATAAAGGATTTGAAATCAAACCTACACTGCGACGAAGTCCTGATACACGTCGATTTCAGTGAAAATTATTGCACTAAGTACTCTGAAGAAATTCAGGCCTTTCATTTCGGTGGATCTCGTGCACAGCTGAGCCTGCATACCGTTGTAGTTTATCTACAAAATTCAATCCTTTCTTTTTGCACAGTCTCCGAGAACATAACCCATTCACCTGCTGCCATTTGGACACATCTACGACCAGTTTTCAGGGCTCTTCCATGTAACATTAAACGAGTGCACTTTTTGAGCGATGGCCCTGTAACGCAGTATCGCAATAAAACTATGTTTTTTATAATGGCAACTAAACTCTCTGAAGAAATTCCTGATATTGAAAACTTTACATGGAACTACACTGAAAGTGGCCATGGAAAAGGTGCACCGGATGGAATCGGAGCAACATGTAAAAGGACAGCAGATTTTGTAGTTAGTTCTGGAGGTGACATCAACAATATTGATCAGTTTGTTACAGTTATCCAGGAGCGATGTCTTGGCATCACATGTATCGCGATTGACGGTAAAGACATTCAGGCAATAGTCGATACAGTTGAAGAGGAAGCAGCCGATCAGAAAGGGTTTAAAGGTACTCTAAATGTACATCAGGTCGCAGGTGTTTATTCCAGCTCCATCCCTGGCCTTCCCACTAAATGTAAAACACTTACAATGAAAACTCTCAGCTGCTTTTGCAACCGCGGATCTTGTGAACATTATAAGATAGGCAGTATCAACTTTGCTTTAAAGCCTAAATTGTCAGTAGAAGAAGTATTTACAGAGTCCGAAGCCGAAGATCTTGAGCCTGCTAAGTCTGAATTGACACCTACACAAACGAAATCCCTTCAAAGATTGGATGATGCTATACCAGGAACGAGTGGCATTCAGAATTCATTTTACAATACAGGAGATTATGTTCTTGTGAAATATACAGCTAAAAATGTGGAATATCGTTATGCTGCTGTAATTAATGGGATTGACGATGAAGAAAATGACTTACGTGTTACTTTC